TGATTAACAGAATTTGTCCCTATTTTATCGATTTGATGACATCCACACATCGTATTTTATCTGTGTAAAATTGAACATCAGGATTGAATTCCAATAAAAGAGTTTGAGTGTGGATTGAATCTGGAGAATCATCGATATTGGCATCAAGCCATATGAGTTGAATATTTTCTTTATTTTTCAATGTTAGCACCGGTTGAAGATCCCGAGGAGCAGAGACATTCGGACTACTTGCCATTTGCTTTGAGAAGTAACTTTCTTTTTTCACCGTCTCAGTTTCAAGAATTTTTAACAATGTCAACAGTCGACAAAAAAAACTCACATTAAAAGCTATTTATTTATTTGCATATTCTGTATTTTGCAACTGGGAGAATCTTGCATCATGTGCACATGTAAGATATTGTTGATGGTTACTATGATTTCATGCAATACAAAGTATGCTATTGCGATGCACCACAACTTTTAAAAAATAAAACTATTCAATAATCTTGATTAGGTTTTTTCTTCAATATTTCACATGAACTGAACCCACAATCAATAAAAATATATCGCCAATGAAGTAATGTAAAAATTTTCAAGTTGATCTATTTGTCTGTGAGTAAACATTATTATTCATACATGGAAATCTTTCCCTAATTCCACCACTATTTATATATGAAAATACTATTATGAGTTCTTTTACATTTGTCGAAACTGTCAAAATTTTGAAAGATAATCGTTACAGACTTCCAAAACCTTAAATAAAGTTGCATCCCTAATTCCATGTATAAATAGCAATCGTATTGGGATGGATGCTCATGTAATAAAAATAATTTTTATTCAAAGATAAACAACCGAAAGAAGACGCCAAACCATCTCTACACTCACAAACAAAGCAACAACTCTGCCGAAAATAACTAAACAAAACATGTCGATCTTTAACGAAAATTGAGAAGAAACCAAAAGGTTTCCTTAAATGCGACAGTCTGATAGTGTATAATTTGATTGAATATATTGCTAGGAAAAATTTGTTTTTCGAAATCGAAGAAGTTTTCAATCGAATCAACCTTATATTTGAATGCTTTGAATTGTAAAATGATTTCTTTAGGAAGCAAAGAATCGAACCGACAAACGCATGCTTAGCAGAGAGTTTTAGTGCTTCATTCGATCAACACTAAAGTTTTCATTCTAATATTCTTTTTCCTTGTGGATGAAATATTTTTATGTTCGACCGGTATTGTATTGAAATTTTTGTGAACATACTTCAATAAATTCAATATCACATACGATAAAAGAATGCCGTCCGAATTCGATTGATCTGTTATTTTCGGCTGTGGAGTGTAGGTGTGAGTGTATGCTTAACTTCATCCAGAACCACACTCATTCATATCCATATACACAACCTTCTGTGTATATGTTCTTTCTTGTTCCATAACGAATCTTTACTCATTCAGCTATGCTGCCGATGTGTTGGATTGATTCATAACACCACCTGAGTTTTTTTTCAGACTAAGCAAATAGTTTCACATTGTATGACTCAAAAAACATTTTTTTTTATGCAATTACAAGTGTGCATCTGTTTTTTTTTTCTTTGTACGTTAAAATTGAATGTAAATGACGATATTTGCAATCATTTCACTCATTCCGGTGAATAAAGGACGGATAAAAAGATCATCACAGCTTTTCATATTAAAGTAAAGAGGACAAAGCATGGATACTTTCATGTAATACATGATTCTAGATGTTGTATTTGATCCGTATAAAAAAAACGGAAAACATCTGATTTTCGTTGACTAGTTTATTTCGTTGAAAACCAATTAAATTTGTAGGATCAATTTCAGCCATTTTTTTATTTCTTTAATAGTCATACGTTTTATTTTAAATCTGAGTTTTACCCAGTTTTTCATTGAAAAAAAAAGACTAAAATCGGATTTTTCCGTATGAAAAATGAATATATTTGACTCCAACATCTTGAATATCAAAACAACTTTATTATTATTATGCTTTGTTGAGCTTCAAGTGTCATGAACGAAAATACTACTGCCAACTTCGATTGGTCAACCATTTGTATTATTATCTGTAATCTTTTTTCTTGTGTTGCATTATTCAGTTACTTTTTTCTTACGTCAATTCTATCTCTGATGATATTTATGTGGATAAAGCAATTCGTTTACACTTATTTGTCTCACAAGTATGTGATTTTAATTCTACAAACTGTATAAAACCAAATATGAGTAAGTCACACTTTGTTTTTCGCAATTTAATAATTAAATCAGTCCTGATTCGAATTCATTCAGATTTTTGTTTTGAGCATGTAACGCTCAAAAATCAAACTAGGCTCCTATTCAGAACTTCAAATGAACAGTACACAACTCATAGTAAATGATATTCTTGAAATATATTTCATCTAACTAAAATATCGAATGACTATACCTTAAGTCTTGTTTATTTTTCTATGTAAAAAGTCGAAGCTGGTTTCATGGCAATACAGATTTTAAATGAAGCTTTCGGTGAATAAAACACATTTTTAAGGTAAAGGACTTCTATTATATAACGTTTAGATAATATAATTCGCATTACATGCAGATAAATTTTTGTGTCGTTTAATAACTCTGTTTTTCAATTTTCAGGCATTTATTCTTTTTATTTTATTAATCTAGTATTAAAAAGTTTCGAAATAATTTCTCGTACATATAAATGACATTATATGTAATTACCATCTCATTGTTATATTCAATTTAATAATTTATCTTCTTCTTAGATCATATTAAAATTGTCAATATTGACATAATCAAATTATATTGTAGATCATCAATTTTTTTCAATACATTTTAAAATAAATAAAGTATAATGCTCATATTATGTGATTTAAGTTGAGAAAACAGCTTTTCCCGACATCAAATGTAGCGTGAAACAGATTTTGGATTCTCCAATTTTTAATATCTGTTTTTTCCAATTGCGAAGTGTTCTAGCAGTTGTCTTTGCTAGGCACTTCAGTTGATCTCTCATTTACTAATTGCAGAAATAAATGCACTTAGGCATGAACAACAGGTATTAGGAGAAATATTTTCAACAAATTTTTTTAAAATTCTACAAGTCTCATTCAAGTTTGAATTTAACTTGATATTTGAATGTAAAAATAAACAAAATTATTTTGCAATTTGTTTTAAGTTTTAGTCACCTGATTGGCATAAATTATCGAATAAGAAACGAATAAGAAATGTACTTCATTAAACTATTGATTTTCCAGAGATCCATTCGACATAAAATTCCGTTCTCTATTCAATGATCCGTACCATATTCTCCTGACATACTTCAGAATTGAGATATTCAATCAGCAATATCATACAATGTTCGTCATGAAATAATACTGAGGAAACATCGATTTCTTCGAAGCCACTCACGCATGTCAGATGGTTTATGAGTTTCGCGTTTTACGCAGAGCAATGGGTCAATGATTGGCCGGTATTCTAGGATGAATCGCATTGCATCTTGCCGAAGTAATGGGCATGCTATTAGGAAAGATTGACGGAGAAAATATGATTGTTATGAATTTATTTGCTTTACCAGGTGAAGGAACAGGTAAATATTAAATTATAGTAGAATTATAGAACTTTTGTTACCAAACGAGTATAGATTGAAAAATGAAATAATAAAATCGATGAAATTTTTGTTTATTGCTCACAGAAATTTCTTAGAAATGATTTCGTTCTCGGAAAATACAATGTTGGAGGCGACGGAAGTCATCATTTCAAAACATGATTTCTCAGATTTATCCAACAAAATTTCCACCAAAAAATGTCTCTCAGATTTCTGAACTATTGTTTTATTAAAGAATAGCCATGAAGTGCCATTTATCATTAGAATTCGTCGTGTAGAATCTTGACTCAGCTGGGTACGCTTTTGAAAGTTCCCTGCTGAAGAGGTTTGGTTCCACTAGATAGTTGATACATGAAAAGCAATATTAAATAACCTCCAAAGGAATCTTTTATCTTTGGAGCGTCTACCAAATTTGGTTAAAAAATTCCATTGAGAATATAAAGAGTACGAATTGGGTATGAGTCTATTGATTTTGGACTCGATGGGATTTATTCGTGACGTTTTTTAGTTAATCACTATGGAAATCACTCTTAAATCAAGCGTTTAGCTTGAAATTTTTTCCTCACAGTACTTAGATGTTCACGTATGTTTTGAGAATTGTTTTCGAGTCGCAACATCTGCTAAAGTGGTGATACGATCATGTAATCTTTTCACTACCGTATACATAGACAAACACTTATTTCAGAGTGAGTTCGATTGTTCTTTCTTCCTGACAATGTACACATTAGGGATTATTCTTATCATTAGAAAAACGTTGTGCAAATCATTCACCGATATAAAAATGTGATTTTTCTTCATATGGAATAGCTGATACTGATCAATGATCTAAAGGAAAATGAAAATATTTTGATAAGCCGACCTAGGACATTGAATTGGTATGTAGTTAGCGTTGCTCACTCGACATGTGTAGCTAAAATTTCAAGTTAACAGTTCGAAATATTGAAATACTTCAAGGAGAGTCTGAATTTTTGGCGAGTATTATATATTTAATTACTTCGTTGTCGAAGTAATTTCTACAGTGATTTGACGTCAAGAAAAGTGCTAAAGATCGCATTATACGATGATACGTTTGTTAATAAACGAAAGTTTCTATAAATTAAACGAAGAGAGTAAAAGATAATTTTTAATAATGACAGTAATAGATTAGTATATTTTATTTGGGAATAAGACTGTAGTCTCAAAGAACGTTCAGTTTAGGTCATACTGAGCTTTCAAATGTTCAAATCTCAATATTATTCACTACTTTATTTTAAAAAAATGGTATTTTATAAATTCGTGTCAATGCTCACCAAGAAGCTTATGAATATGTGAGTTCGTATATATTATCCGCTAAACAAGTGAATCGTCTAGAAAATGTTATTGGGTAGTATCATTCACATCCAGGTTATGTTTGTTGGTTAGGCGGTATTGATGTTAATACTCAAATGCTAAATCAACAATATCAAGACCCATTTGTTGCTATTGTTGTGAATCAATAAAAGCTTTCTTTTTTCGTTTTTGATAAAGAAATAAAAACAACACTTATTTTTAGGTTGATCCAACTCGTACAATATCAGCTGGTAAAGTAAATATTGGAGCATTTCGTACATATCCAGAAGGATATAAAGCTGAAAATGAAATGATTGATTATCAACCAATACCATTAAATAAAACCCAAGATTTTGGTGTTCATTATAAAAAATATTATTCACTCGAAGTATCTTTTTTCAAATCGTCACTTGATAAACGCCTACTTGAACATTTATGGAATCGATATTGGGTTAGTACATTGAGGTGAGTTTTCGATTATAGTCTTTTCAGAAAATACGAACTAAAAAAGGATGTTGAAGTATAGGAATACAAAAATTGAACACTTCCGTCTTGTCGTTCGTGGCAGAAATTCCAGCAAGGCTCAATAACAAACTCTGCTAGACATAGTCTCTATAGTAAAAGAGTCAAGGAAAATATTGGTTTAATTTTTTGGCTAAAAGAATTGAAAATTACATCGAATCTACGAATATTAGTGGAGAATTATCATTTTAAAGGAAAATAATATTTTTGAAGAAAGTTCTCAAGTGATACGAATAAGTTAAAGAATGACCGAAAGGAACATACAAAAAAGGATAGAAGAGATTTATAATCTCATTTAAAGACAAATATGTATGATGATGTTCTGGGGGGGGGGGGTGTTGTGGATCTTCTCTTCACTCACACACACCCAACACTAGTATCTTAGCAGAGATCCAAGAAAGTTCACATTAGGGGTTACCCTTTATCCTTATTTTCTAAAGATACAGGATTCATTTATTTTTATTTAGTAAAGTAATACTAAATGACCACCTCTAGTTCATATAGACAATATATATACTCAAGAATTATGCGTTTTGATAAAATTTCTTAAGTTACTTAGCCGAAGAAAAAAGTTCGATCGGAATTTTACAAAATTTCTTTCGAAATAATTTGTTGCCATCAATATGTATAAAAGAATGCTTTTAACATACATCAATCGAAGTCATTCATGTTGACTTTAAATTCAGTCAAAAAATGGTAAAGACAACAATAAGAATTACTTGATTTTTGAAACAAGAGTTCCATCTACAACTATAAAGTTCACAGTAGAGTGAAGGTCAAAGCTAAACGAAGACCGGGACCACTGCAATTCCATAAATTCAATTCAAACATGATATTGTCATACGGTGCTAGGACAATGCGTTGCAATTACATAATTCAATAACAGGTTTTTCTACAACATTTAAACGACTCATTATGTTAAATTTGGAAACATATAATCCAGAGCAGTCATCCTATTCCGCAAATTTACACATTCCTGCATCGCCTTCTGAATTTGTGCATTCCGGAATTTGTGCACATTCGGAATCTCTAGGAGATGCAGGAGTTCCTGGCCATTCCTGCATATTCCGAAATTACAAATATCTCATGGATGGCTAAATGATCATCTATTGAGCTTGAATAAATGCAAAGCGGAATTCCGGAATTTGTGCATATCCGGAATCACTAGGGAATACAGGAATTCCTGCTCATTCCTGCCTATTTCGGACTTACAAATGTCTCATGTATGGCTTAATGATCACTTATCGAAGTTGAATAAATGCAAAGCGGAATTCCGGAATTTGTGCATATCCAGAATCACAAGGAAATGCAGGAATTCCTGCTCATTCATGCACTTTCCTGCACATTCCTGCACTTTCCTGCCCATTCCTGCCTATTTCGGAATTACAAATATCTGATGGATGGCTAAATGATCATTTATCAAGCTTGAATAAATGCAAACCGGAATTCCGGAAATTGTGCATATCCGGCATCACTAGGAAATGCAGGAATTCCTGCACATTCCTGCACATTCCTGCACATTCCTGCCTATTCCGGAATTACAAATATCTCATGGATGGCTAAATGATCATCTATTGAGCTTGAATAAATGCAAAGCGGAATTCCGGAATTTGTGCATATCCGGAATCACTAGGGAATGCAGGAATTCCTGCTCATTCCTGCCTATTCCGGACTTACAAATGTCTCATGGATGGCTTAATGATCACTTATCGAAGTTGAATAAATGCAAACCGGAATTCCGAAATTTGTGCATATCCGGAATCACTAGGAAATGCAGGAATTCCTGCTCATTCCTGCACATTCCTGCACATTCCTGCCTATTCCGGAATTACAAAT